AATACACACTGTTGGGGAGAGTTGGGGATATCTAGAAACACGGAGGGTAAATTAAATAAATAAAGGGGGGGTCACGCCCGACTTTACAACTTTTTTTTTTTGCCACAGCTGTTCGGCGCATCCTTTTCCTTCGTTAAGCGAATCGCGCCGTTTTTAAGCGGAACCTGGCCCTCCCGTTGACTTTGCTTGTCGGGCGTTGGCTGGGAAAGTCAGACACTGAACCTTCACAGGACTCGGGGACGGCGCGAATGCCGGTTGCTCCCCTTGCCCAAATTTTGATTCTGTTAACGGTGGGGATTTTGCGATGGACGCCAGCGCATCCTCCATCGCGTGTTTTTTTTGGGGGGCGGTGCCGTTGTACCTTCGAACGGGTCACTGAACGGATAGCCGTAAACCGAGGATTTCCTACCTCTGCTGTGGGGCCAGGGCTAAGCTGACACTCAGCCACAACCAGGGTGAACAAACAGATTTTTTTTTTTTTGCGTTTTTTGTTTTTTCTTTTGTTCTGCAGTTCAGCAAGTTTGAATTTCATCCAGGGGAATAAACGACACGGCCAAGAGGGTTCTCTCTCTCTCTCTCTCTCTCACACACACACACACACACACACACACACTATCTATCTATCTATCTATCTATCTATCTATCTATCTATCTATCTATCTATCTATCTATAAGAGCCGAGGTGGCGCAGCAGTTGGAGTGCAGCACTGAAGGCCACTTTAGCTGACTGTGTTCAGCAGGTCAGCGGTTCAAATCTCACCGGCTCAAGGTTGACTCAGCCTTCCATCCTTCCGGGGTAGGTCAAATGAGGACCCAGATTGTTGGGGGCAATGTAAATATATATATATATACATTGCTTACTGGTGTACACTGCTTAGAGAGTGCTTGCACTTAAAGCGGTATATAAGTCTCATAAATAAATATCTCTATCTATCTTCTAATCTATCCAATCCATCATTCTCTTTCTCTTCTTTCTCTACTATCCATCCAACCATCCATCCATCTCTCTCTCTCATCTCTCTCTCTGTGTGTGTGTGTGTGTGTGTGTCTGTCTGTCTGTCTGTCTCTATCTCTCTATCCAATCCATTGTTCTCTTTCTCTCCATCCATCTCTCTCATCTGTCTGTCTGTCTATCTACCTACCTACCTACCTACCTACCTACCTACCTACCTACCTACCTATCTATCTATCTATCTATCTATCTATCTATCTATCTATCTATCTATCCAATCCATCATTCTCTTTCTCTTCTTTGTCTACCATCCATCCAATCATCCATCCATCTCTCTCTCTCTATCATCTCTCTCTCTCTCTCTCTCTCTCTCTCTCTCACACACACACACACACACACACACACACACACACACACACACACACACTTTTTATTACCTCTCTTTTTTAGGAAGTGCCACATAACTCTAACTCGCTGCCGGTGTGATAGACCTGGGGCTCATATAACCACCCGTAAGCTAGACCAATAAAATCTTTATAGCGTCTTTCGTCTTTCGCTATCCTTGGAGCTGAGGGTTTCCCCCCCCCCTTTTTCTCCTTTTTATCTCTGACCTCCTCTGCTCTCCATCCTTAAATGAAATAAAACTCACTCCTTCTCCCAAAGATCAGATGTAACACTCAAGCATCAAACTGGCTTTCAGGTACACACAACATTACATTTCGGCTTCATTATCCCAGGAGGGTCTTTTCGGGGGGGGGGGCAAATACAAAAAAAATTGTAGACTTTTTCTCTCTCTCTTTTTTTTCTCCCCCCCCCCTTCGCCAGAGAAAGAGAGACCAAGATACTTGGTGTGTCGGCTTGGCTGGGGTTTTTTTTTGTTGTTTTTTTTATCATCTTGATCATTTTGATGTTGAGACTCTAGAAAAAGTACAGAGAAGAGCAACAAAGATGATTAGGGGACTGGAGGCTTAAACATACAAGGAACGGTTGCTGGAATTGGGAATGTCTAGTTTAACGAAGAGAAGGACAAGGGGGGACATGATAGCAGTCTTCCAATATCTCAGGGGCTGCCCCAAAGAAGAGGCAGTCAAGCTATTCTCCAAAGCACCTAAAGGCAGGACAAGAAGGAACTGGTGGAAACTAACCAAGGAGAGAAGCAACCTAGAACTAAGGAGAAACTTCCTGACAGAACAATTAACTAGTGGAACAACCTGCCTCCAGAAGCAGTGAATGCCCCAACACTGGAAGTTTTTAAGAAGAGACTGGACAGGCATTTGTCCGAAATGGTGTAGGGTTTTCTGCCTGAGCAGGGGGTTGGACTAGATGACCTCCAAGGTCCCTTCCAACTTTACTATTATTATTATCTTCTAGGGAAGAAAAAGATTGCACGGAGCAGCCTAAGGTTTCACCCTTAAGGAACGGACACACACACACCCCCCCCGAAGAAGGGGAGGGGGCCGGGCTTGGGTTCGAAGGATGCGAGAGGCTTGTGCAAACCGGAAATTGTATCCGTGCACGCTCACGGGGAAGGTCCGGCTGCATCTATAATAATAATAGTAGTAGTAGTAATAATAATAATAATAATAATAATAATAATAATAATAATAATAATAATAAAAATCCCAAAACAACTGGAGCACCACTTGAACACCATTGGCATTGACAAATTTGCTATCAGTCAATTGCAAAAGGCGGCCTTATTAGGAACTGCTTCCATTCTGCAACGGTATCTGTAATACCATCAAACATCCACATCTGCCTATCCCAGGTCCTGGGTAAGGACTCGATAGGTAGACAAAATGCCAAATCCAGTCTGAACATCTGGCTGACTGTGCGATGATCCATAATAATAATAATAATGATGATGATGATGATGTTGGAAGGTACCTTGGAGATCATCTAGTCCAGCCCCCTGCTCAGGCAGGAAACCCTATACCATTTCAGACCAATGGCTTCTTAAAAACTTCCAGTATTGGAACATTCACCGCTTCTGGAGGCAGGTAGTTCCACGGGTTAATTGCTCTGGCTGTCAGGAAATTTCTCCTTAGTTCTAGGTTGCTTCTCTCCTTGATTATATTATCTCCTTGATTGTGATCATAAATCCCAAAGTTCCTTCAATCTTAAGAACTTTTAAGGGGTCTGGACTTCAGCTCCCAGAATTCCCCTGCTAACCATTGTGGCTCGGGAATTCTGGGAGCTGATGTCCAGACATCTCAATCTTGAGAAACAGGGATCTAACACAGAGGTAGCCAATCGTTTCATGCTGGAGGCGCAGAGAGAAAGGCAGCAGCTGGGAAATTTGCGCGAGCGCATGTGTGCGAAAACAAGGCTGGGCGCACCAACACGGTGCTAGTGGCCCCGTTTGTGCATGCATGTAGGCGCTAGCCACTGCAGCTAGACCTGCATGCAAGTGCAAACGGGCCACAAAACCTGCACGGCACTAGTGGCCCCCATTTGCAAGGTGCTAGCCGCTGCTGCTAGCCCCGTGCGCAGGTGAAAACGGGCCGGTGGGTGCTAGCGCAAGTGGGGGTGAGTGTGCACATGTGGCAAGTAGTGGGCCGCAATCTGTAGGTTGAGGACCCCTGATCTAACAGCTAAAGAAACTGGCTGTTGGGGATATTTTGGGTTCTAGGGGCCATTTATTGGGGTAGGAATAAACCCTCTTATTATTTGGAAGTGGCTTGCAAGTGCCTAGACCAGACAGGTCAAACTTGTGATGTTATGTGATGTCGTGCAACGTATCGGAATTTTTTCCCCATTGCTGGCAATGGAGTGGGCGCGGTTTCCCAGTGACGCATCCGGCCCATGGGCCGGCAGTTAGACACCCCTGGCCTAGACATTTAACAGGGTGATATTAATATACAGATTATATGTGTAAAAGTGCCCTTTTTTATTCTTTGTGTGTCTTGGTCTCTCTGCCCAGCGTGGAAACGGTGCAATAAGGAACACAATCAGCCCCTGCATTACGTTATTTTAAAGCCGCTATCCGAGTTTAATTGCAGAGGGGGAAAAAATGGCTCGGTCAATGGGAATTTAATTTCTCCTCCACCCCATTCCTTGTCTGATGCATTAGAAATCTGTTTTCGATCGACAGGGACTTTATTAAAACAAAGTGGCAAGGGCTGCAGCGTGACCACATCCCGGGGATCTTACAAGAATCTTTTTGCCGCCCTGGTTTTTGCAAAAATGCCCCTGGAAGAACACCTGCAGGAAGGCAACGGCTGAGGGCTCCGCAGCTTTAATCGCATTTATTTACCGAGAGGAAGAGCCGTACAGGCAGTCCTCAGTTTACGACCACCACGGAGCCTGAACTTTCTGTTGCTAAATGAGATAGTTTTTGCCCCGTGTTACAAGCCTCCATGCCACGGTTGTTAAGTAAGTCGCCTCAGTAGTTCAGTTGGCAACACGGATGTTAAGCAAATCCGGCTTTTCCCCCATTGACTTTGCTTGTCCGAAGGTCGTAAAAGGGGATCACGTGACCCCGGGGACGTGGCGACCGTCGTAAATACGAGTCAGTAGCCAAGCGGCTGAATTTTGATCCCTGCAGCGTTTGTTGGTGTGTAAGTCAGTGCCACGGTAACTTCGAACAGTCACTAAATGAATTATCGTAAGTCGAGGACTACCTGTACTTAAGAGATCAAAGGAGAGGTAAAACAGTGCAGGTAAGTCCTCGACCTACGAGCACAACTGAGCCCAAAATTTCTGCTGCTAAACGAGATCATTGTTAGGAACTTGGTTTACAACGGCAGAAGTTGTGGGTGCTTTTAAAAAAGGGGACCGGACAGCCATTTGTCTAAAATGGTATAGAGTCTCCTGCGTGAGCAGGGGGTTGGACTAGATGACCTCCAAGGCCCCTTCCAGCTCTGTGGTTCTATGATTCTGTGAGGGTCTCCTGCTTGAACCGAGGGTTGGACTAGAAGACCTCGGGGGTCCCTTTTTAGTTCGACTTTCTGTTATTTTGAGCCTTGAGGGTGCAACGCTTCACGTGCGAGCACAATTCTTTGAAGTTGTGTAACTCTTCCTTCTCTCTCCTCTTCCGCTCCTCCAGGCGGTACAAGACTGATCCCGTGTGTGTAGATCTCCAGAACCAGATCTTCCAGTGCTATCAGCAGAACCCAAAGGAGACCCTCAGCTGCTCAGCTTTGGCCGCTGAGTACTTCAAGTGTGTCCAGCACGCTCGGCAGGTGGGTGCAAAAGTTTAGCCTTCTTCACACGGGACTTGTTGCGATTGTGATGGGGTGACAACGCCCAACAAATCCTAACTCAGGCCATTGTTATATTACATTATGCTAGCCAGTTTGGTCCAGGGCTTAAGGCACCAGACTAGAAAGTGGCAGACTGTGAGTTCTAGTCCTGCCTTAGACATGAAAGCCAGCTGGGTGACTTTGGGCCAATCACCAGGAGACGGGGAGTTCTAGTTCCGCCTTACCCATGAAAGCCAGTTGAGTGACTTTGAGCCAATCACCAGGAGACCGTGAGTTCTAGTCCCACCTTATCCAAGAAAGCCATTTGAGTGACTTTGGGCCAATCACCAGGAGACGGTGAGTTTTAGTCCCGCCTTAGGCATGAAAGCCTGCTGGGTGACTTTGGGTCAATCACCAGGAGACTGTGAGTTCTAGTCCCGCCTTAGCCACAAAAGCTGGTTGAGTGACTTTGGGCCAATCACCAGGAGATCAAAATTAAGACCCTTGGCAACCAATTCATATTTATGCTGTGTCCCTCGGGGGTCATGTGCCCCCCCTTTTTGAGACCTCCTGACAACCGAACTCCATGGGGAAGCCAATTTCACTCTACGATTGTGTGATTCGCTTAGCAACTGCAGCGATTCGCTTAACCCAGTGGTTCTCAACCTGTGGGTCGGGACCCCATTTGGGGTCGAACGACCATTTCACGGGGGTCGCCAAACAACGCAGTCCGCCATTTTTTCCCCTTTTCCTTAGCTGTGCTACTCCCTTTTATTCTATTGGCTTTTGAAAGCCAACAGAATAGACTCTCTTGAATAGAGTCTAATTCTATTGGCTTTCCAAAGCCAATAGGAATTGTCCAGGCTGTCTCTGCCCTGCTGAGCCCTCCAAAAGTCCCATTCTACAAACGGTGCTGCACCAGTTGAGTAGTCCCTGACTTACGACCGGTTGGGTAGTCCTCGACTTACGACCAGTTGGGGATCGCAACATTAAAAAGGTTGAGAACCACTGGCTTAACCATTGTGGCAAGAAGGTCATAAAATGGAGCAAAAAAACCCCCCATTTAGCAATGACAATTTTGGGCTCAGTTGTAGCTGTGCGCCGGGGACTAGCTGTAAACCGACGCGGCAACCTAACCGATGCACCTGATTCTTTGCGCTTGACCTTTTCTCCTCGATGGGCAATTGCCGAGCCGTCCTCTGAAATCCGCGGCTGTTCAACATGTTGCGAGTTTTTGCTCCGCTCTTATCTTTTAACACCGAGGATGTCGAAATGGCTTTCGGCCAACAGCTTTTCAGGCAAGATTGTCAGCGGCAGGCAGCGCACCTCCATTTGGCTCTGCTTTTTTTAAATGAAACCCACTTGTGGTTTTTATTATCCCGGTCTCAACCAAGTTGGCCCGCCAGCCAGCGCGCTCTCTTAAGTCCCTCTCGGATGGATGGGGACGGTCCGGGAGTCCTTTTTTGGCTGGAGACAGCCTCTCATTCCCTTCCTTTGTGCCTCTGCGTGTCCAGAGCAAGCAAGATGATAATGGCTATCGAGGCAGCCGGCCAGAATTTCTTTTTGTGCGCGAGTGTTGTCTCGAGAGTGCCGGAAACTGGCAGCGACCATCTGGAAAGAGCCGAGAAAGAAGAAGACAATTAGGGCCATCTTTATTCACACCGCCTTCCTGGTGTTTTCACGTTGCTCGTTCGATGCTCTCCGTTTATAACTCGCTCTCAATAGAAGAGAAACGGAGAACGCGTCTCCGTCCGGCTTTGCTTGCTGGCACGCGAAAACACGTCGCAGTTTTTCTCGGAAGCCTCTCCCCACCCAGCCTGCACGTTTTAGAGGAACGCTTCCTCCTGAACTACTTAGGGCCTATACAGAGAGTCCTCGACTTACGACAGTTCCAGTCCCTCCTGAATTCTGTAAATTCTGTAAACGACCGCTGCAGGATCCCCACTGCTCGTGGTCAAAATTTGGACACAAAATTGGTGTCCCGGGGTCATGTGATCTTCTTTTGCGACCTTCTGACCAGCAAAACCAATGAGGAAGCCAGATTTCACTTAATGACCGGGGTCCTCGCTTAATGACTGCAGGGATTCACTTAACGGCTGTGGCAAGAAAATGGGGCAAAGCGTATTTTACAACTCTCTTGCTTGGAGACAGAAATGGGCTCAGTCGTGGTTGTACGTCGAGGGCTACCAGTACTACATACAGGTAGTCCTTGACTTACGACCGTTTGAGGTTACGACCACCACCCCCAAAAGGGAACTTAACCCAGATTTGAAATTGGGCCCCTGCTGCAGTCATGTAACCAAACATAGGGCGCTTGCCAACGGAGCCTCATTTAAGGCTGTTTGCGGCGTCCTGCTATCCGTGACCGTGTTTTATAGCGTTTTTGCTAAAAACTGAACACTCCCTTCTGACTTTTGACAAAGCTGCCCTGTAGCAAATCTTTGGTTTCCTTAACAACCCCGGCATTCACTTAATGTCCCACAGTGTTCGCTTAATAGCCAAGAAGATAGTTTCAAGCCTTGTATGATGTCATGTTTCCCCAAAAGTAAGGCCTACACCAGGGGTAGGCAACCTTGGCTCTTTTATGACTGGTGGACTTCAACTCCCAGAATTCCTGAGCCAGCCATGCTGAGGGGAAAGGGAGAGGTTTCCAAGCTGAGCCATGCTGGCTCAGGAATTCTGGGAGTTGAAGTCCATGAGTCATAAAAGAGCCAAGGTTGCCTACCCCTGGTCTAGGAGGCTCACCGCTTAGAACAGGAGGACTTAGGACAGGGGTAGGCAACCTTGGCTCTTTTATGACTGGTGGACTTCAACTCCCAGAATTCCTGAGCCAGCATGAGGGAACTATGGCCCCCTCATGACTCATGGACTTCAACTCCCAGAATTCCTCAGCCAGCCATGCTGAGGGGAAAGGGAGAGGTTTCCAAGTTGAGCCAGGCTGGCTCAGGAATTCTGGGAGTTGAAGTCCACCAGTCATAAAAGAGCCAAGGTTGCCTACCCCTGCCTTAGATGCTGGTTGCTGCTGAAAATTGGACACGCTACTTCAAACCAGTCTTTCCAACTTGGAGACCAATCTCTCTTTTAAAAAGTGATGGAAAAAAATGCAGGACTGTGCATGCACCCAAATTTTGCAGACATTGCACTATGTTAAATCGTGATTTAATAAAATAAGTCACAACTGAGTCATCAAAGAGCCAAGGTGGCCTGCCCCTGTTCTAGTCCAACCTGAAGGCAGGATAAGAAGCAACGGATGGAAACTGATCAAGGAGAGAAGCAACCTAGAACTAAGGAGAAACTTTCTGACAGTGAGAACAATGAATCAGTGGAACAGCCTGCCTCCAGAAGCAGTGAATGCTCCAACACTGGAAGTTTTTAAGAAGAGACTGGACAGCCATTTGTCTGAAATGGTGTAGGGTTTCCTGCCTGAGCAGGGGGTTGGACTAGATGACCTCCAAGGTCCCTTCCAACTTTACTACTGTTACTACTAACCCCCTACTCAAACAGGAGATCCTATACCAGGGTTAGGCCACCTTGGCTCTTTTATGACTTGTGGACTTCAACTCCCAGAATTCCTGAGCCAGCCACGCTGAGGGGAAAGGGAGAGGTTTCCAAGCTGAGCCAGGCTGGCTGAGGGATTCTGGGAATTGAAGTCCACGAGCCATAAAAGAACCCAGGTTGCCTACCCCTGTCCTAAGTCTTCCTGTTCTAAGCAGTGAGCCTCCTAGAACAGGAGTAGGCAACCTTGGCTACTCCTGAATTTAACAACGTTGCTGAAAAAAAGTGACTTACCAACCGGGTCCTCGCCCTTAACCACTGTCCCAGCGTCCCTGCAAGTCACTTGATCAAAATTCGAACCCGTGGCAACTGTCATGGATTTAGCATGATTGCAGCATCCCTGGGAGAGGGGGTGGGGTGTCCCATGATCGCCACTTGCAACCTTCCCAGCCGGCTCTCATTAAGCAAAGTCAATGGGGGAAGCTGGATTCGCTTAATGGCTCGGTGCTTCACTTAGTGACAGTGCTGATTTGCTTAACGACCGTGGCGGGCAAAAAAGGTTATAAAATTGGGTGAGGCTCTCTGAATCTCCTGCCTTGCTTAACCGCAGATATTCTGGTTCCAGTTGTGATCGTAAGTCGAGGACTACGTTCCGTGCTGGTTTTCTGGACTACCTTGGAGGGCTAACAGTTGTTAAAACTCCACCAGCTCCAGAAAGCTCATCGCCCATTAAGCTCTGCTGCCTTCATAATTTACAGTCCTGACTGATATGGATGCCCTGAATAATTTGGCACGCAAGCAAGAGTTTTGTTTACAATCAGGGGAAACATCCCACATTAGCAACTTTTCTTCTGAGCAATTAATCCAAAATGGTGCAGCTGTAGCTGTGGCAGCTTCAAATGCCAGAAAGGACACACACACACACACACACACACACACACCCCTGCGTGCTCAGCTCAATCTTCCTTGTGTCACGCAGAGCTTCTCCCCCCCCCCCCCCGCAGAAAAATTGTTTTTTTTTTTCAAGTCAGCAAACTGCAGATGATGGAGAATCACCTGTGTTTTTTTGGCTCACCTGGTGGATACCTGAAGGGAAGAAGCAGGGGTCTGCTCGGTTCCTCTCCTCTGTAGCCCAAACACACACAGAGAGAGACAACGGCGATCGTTCCTCTGAAAAACACAAAGTTAATGAAGCCAGTAGTTCAATTTTACACAGCAAGAGGGGATGCAAATAAAAATAAAATAAAATAAAATGAGAACATAAAAATAAAATACCATAAATAAAATAAAAACATAAAATAATGAATAGAATAGCATAGAATGGAATGGAATAGGAGTAGGAAAGAAAAGAATAGAATATTTTCCTAACCTAGCAGTCTCTAAATGTTTCAGGATTGGTAACTGAGAGAAGGGAATGGAATAGAGAATAGAATGGAATGGAGGATAGGATAGGATAAATAGAATAGAATAGAATAGAATAGAATAGAATAGAATAGAATAGAATAGAATAGAATAGAATAGAATAGAATATAGAATAAGAAGGAAGAATAGAATAGAGTAGAATATAGAGTAAGAAGGAAGAATAGAATAGAATAGAATAGAATAGAATAGAATAGAATAGAATAGAATAGAATAGAATAGAACAGTGGTTCTCAACCTTCCTAATGCCGCGACTCTTTAATACAGTTCCTCATGTTGTGGTGACCCCCAACCCCCCATCCAGCTGGCCAGGGGGTATCAAAAACTTGACCCAAAAAAAAAAAAGGAAAAATGGGAAAGTATAGGTTGTCCTCGACTTACAACAATTCGCTTAGAATAAGGAATGGAATAGGAAATGGAATAAGGAATAGAATAGAATAGAATAGAATAGAATAGAATAGAATAGAATGCCACCCAGCTGGCTTTCATGCCTAAGGCGGGACTAGAACTCACTGTCTCCTGGTGGTTGGCTCAAAGTCACCCAGCCAGCTTTCACTCCTAATGCAGGAAGAACTCACCAGCTCCCGTTTTCTAACCCGGTGCCTTAACCAATAGACCCAACAGGCTCTCCCTTCTCTATTCTATTATATATAGGCCTTCACTTCTAGTTTTCTGGACCAGATCTGCTTCCTTATTTTGATTTTTTCTTTCTTTCTCCCTCTCTCTCTCTCTCTCTTTCCCTCCCTTGTTTTTTTTCTCCTTCTTCTCTTGCAGTGCAGTGCTGGTCGGGGAGGCTAATATCTGCTGCGCATGGAACACCCCTCCCTCCACTTCAGTTCCCAACAGCTGGGAGGATGGGGAGGATGGTTATTCCGGAAGGATCCAGCGGCCCTTGACAGGGCAGACAGACAGAGCACCCACTCCAGAAGGCCCAGATCGACAGCAGCGAGCCGCCTGGCTTCGGCATCACCGCCACAATACTCATTTCATTAGACTAGCAACGGCTTAACACATAACCCACTTAACTGGTAATTGAAGGGAAGCAAAATCTGAATCTTTCGGATGGGGTGTCCAAGCTGGGCCAAGTCCACAAGTCTTAAAGTGGCCCAGCTTTGGACACCCCTGCCTTAGTGAAAGACCTCTTCCCACCCACCCACCCCCCTCAAAATCTTATTGTTTTCACCGCTCCCACCCACCTTCCAAATTTTATAGTGTCCTTTTTGGATCACGGAGAAGGTGCGGTTTAATTTATTGCAGAACGGTCGTCCTCGACGCTCCGAATCTCGGTCGTGCTGGAATCCTGTCTCAGAAACCACCACAGCATGGAAAGTCCTTGATTTGCAAATCATGATTAAGGCGTCCGGTTGCATCCTATATGTACCGGCGGGCTGACACCAAGTATTGACAATTATGTATCTGTAATAAAAAAAGGTGTTGTTGTTTTTTTGCAAACGGAGCACAAGAACTTGGCTGATGTTCTTCCGGGATGGGGAGGTGCAGGAAATTGTCTCACTCCCACACACAAAACACACACACAGGCCCCTACATCCCTGGTGACACGCTGAAGCTGCTGATGTTTATTTTATGGATGGATTGATGAATCAGATTTAGGAAACGCCGGTCTGTCTTATAGAGGGACGTTGGACAGGATACATGTAAAATGTTAGCAGTGTTTCTCAACCTTGACCATTTTAAGGCATGTGGACTTCAACTCCCAGAATTCCACAGCCAGCATTGCTGGCTGTGGAATTCTGGGAGTTGAAGTCCACATGCCTTAAAATGGTCAAGGTTGAGAAACACTGTGTTAAAGGCATAAAAACCGTACGGAAAATTTTGAAAACAGAACATTTATATATACATTCATTCATTCATGTGATGTGTACCCATTTAAAGCATGCTAGCTGGGGAATTCTGGGAATTGAAATCCATCTTAAAGCAGACTGGCTGGGCAATTCTGGGAATTGAAGTCCACACATTTAAAGCAGGCTGGCTGGGCAATTCTGGGAGTTGAAGTCCACCCCTCTTAAAAGTTGCTAAGTGTGAAAAACATACAGCTAGATTGCACTTTAGATAATGCATTATAGTGCAAACAATAAGATAGCCAATTTGATTGCGGTTGCATATCTGCAAAGCATGAAAAAGGGCTACTTTGCTAAACCATACACGAACACAGCTTTGGGATCCAGTAACCTCTGTGATCAGCCTTCTGGAGACGCGTCTTCCACCCTTTCTGCTTTGACATTTCCTGCTGGGCAACACTTGCTCAATTTTAACTCCGAACCTTTTCAGGAATCCAATATTCCTTCCAGCCTCGGAAAGACTTATCCGGGAGTTATTTAGACTCGCTCCTCACAGCAACCCCATTTAATTCATCAAGATAGCCTGATCTCGCCAGAGTTCTGCAGTCACAGCACCAGCCTCCCCTTCAATCAATGTCAGTTGCCTTAACTATCTTCGATCAGCGTCAGTCAAGCCAGCAGCCACCCTAAAAATGGAACTCTACACTCGGCTCCTTTTGCTTTCTCCGAAAAAGGTTCTTTGTGCAGTGGCTACGGGTTTTCCCAGATAAGCTTTGCAGTAACAGTCAGGGCTGCATAACCTTGGCAATTTGAAAACCTGTGGACTTCAACTCCCAGAATCCCCCAGCCAGCTTGCTTTAAGATGGGTGGACTTCAACTCCCAGAATTCCCCAGCTAGCATGCTTTGAGATGGGTGGACTTCAACTCCCAGAATCCCCCAGGCGGCATGCTTTAAGATGGGTGGACTTCAACTCCCAGAATCTCCCAGGCGGCATGCTTTAGGACAGTGGTTCTCAACCTGTGGGTCGGGACCCCATTTGGGGTCGAATGACCATTTCACGGGGGTCGCCAAACAATGCAGTCCGCCATTTTTTCCCCCTTTTCCTTAGCTGTGCTACTCCCTTTTATTCTATTGGCTTTTGAAAGCCAATAGAATAGACTCTCTTGAATAGAGTCTAATTCTATTGGCTTTCAAAAGCCAATAGGAATTGTCCAGGCTGTCTCTGCCCTGCTGAGCCCGCCAAAAGTCCCATTCTGCAAACGGTGCTGCACCAGTTGAGTAGTCCTCGACTTACGATTGGTTGAGTAGTCCTCGACTTACGACCGGTTGGGGGTCGTGGCATTAAAAAGGTTGAGAACCACTGCTTTAGGATGTGTGATTTAACTCCCAGAATTCCCCAGCCAGCTTGCTTTAAGATGGGTGGACTTCAACTCCCAGAATTCCCCAGCTAGCATGCTTTGAGATGGGTGGACTTCAACTCCCAGAATTCCCCAGCCGGCATGCTTTAAGATGAATGGACTTCAACTCCCAGAATCCCCCAGGCAGCATGCTTTATGATGGGTGGATGTCAACTCCCAGAATTCCCCAGGCAGCATGGCTAGGGAATTCTGGGAGTTGAAGTCCACAAGATTGGACACCCCTGCTGTAAATAAAAACTGCCGTTCTGAAATCCACAGTCTTAAACTTGGCAAGGTCGAGAAATCCCGGCCTTCCCACAGTGCCACTCCAATGTGCAAATATCCTCCTTTCCCGACCGCAAGGTAGTAAAGCACGATGTCCTCGACTTAACGACCACAATGGAGCCCAAAATGTCTGTTGCTAAACGAGACAGTGGTGAAGTGAGTTTTGTCTCAGCTGAACGACCTTTCCTGCCACCCTTGTTAAGTTGGGAAGCCGGTCGTTAAGTGAGAAGTTCACAAAAGGGGATCCGGTGACCTGGGGGGACCCTGCAACCGTCACAAGTACATGCCAGTTGCCAAGCTTTTGAATTTTGATCACGTGACCCAGGGGAGGCTGCAACGGTCATAAGTATGAAAAACTGTCTCTAGTGCCGTTGTAACTTCGAGCGGTCACTAAATGAATGGACGTAAGTCGAGGACTTCCTGTATAATCGGCAGATGGGAAACTCTCTCATTCTTGACCCATAAGCCATGAAAGTGAGTCACTTGGGGGCATCGGAGTGTCTTTAAAACCTGCACATTTCATCTTTTCCACCTGCTAAGAAATGCACACCTTTATTTTGAGCCAGCAGGCTCGCGAGAGGAATGCCATTCAGCTGGATTAAAAACCCAGAGCCTCACAACGTTCAAGAATTGTACAACACGAGGTGCCTATTCGGGAATCAAATTACATTTACATCTGAAAAGAACTCGGATCCGCTGCCGGAGAGTTGCTTTTATCATCATCCCATTTCGTCCGCGTGTATCGATCTCCTGAATGAAACTGCAGAATGTAAAAAGCACGGGGGCCACGGCTGAAGAAGCCCATCCTGCACTGCTGAGCTGAAGGTGGTCCTTAGTTGGGGGGGGGGGTCGTGAAAGGTAACCGGATAACGGACAGAATAACAAGAGTTGGAAGGGAGCTTGGAGGTCATCTAGTCCAACCCCCTGCTCAGGCAGGAAACCCTATACTATTTTGGACAAATGGCTGTCCAGTCTCTTCTGAAAAACTTCCAGTGTTGGAGCATTCACAGCTTCCAGTAGCAAGTAGTTCCACTGGTTTAGTGTTTTAACTGTCAGGAAATTTCTCCTTAGTTCTAGGTTGCTTCTCTCTTTGGTTAGTCTCCATCCGTTGCTTCTTGTCCTGCCTTCAGGGGCTTTGGAGAACAGCTTGACTGCCTCTTCTTTGGGGCAGGCCCTGAGATATTGGAACACTGCTATCATGTCACCCCTCGTCCTTCTCTTCATTAAACTAGACCAGTGATGGCGAACCTTTTAGAGACCGAGTGCCCAAACTGCAACCCAAAACCCACTTATGTATCATCGGGTGCTGAGTGGGTGTGGCCCATTGGGTGGGCGTGGCCCATTGGGTGGACGTGGCTGGGGTGGTAACGGCAGACTGGGTGGGACTAAAAAGTTCAATCAATCAATTCCAACTTTGTGAGATCTTTTTTTTCCCCCCGCAAGAAGTTGAAATTGATTGATTGATTGAACCTTTTTTTTTTTTTGCACACGGCGGCAGATACCTAAAGCGAAAAGGTTTTATAAAACCCAGCTGAAGGCCTATGACTGGGGCAACAGCATGCATGCCCACAGAGAGGACTCTGAGTGCCACCTGAGGCACGCATGCCACAGGTTCGCCACCATGGAACTAGACCAGTGGTTCTCAACCTTTTTAATGCCGCGACCCCCAACCGGTCATAAGTCAAGGACTACTCAACTGGTGCAGCACCGTTTGCAGACTGGGACTTTTGGCAGGCTCAGCAGGGCAGAGACAGCCTGGACAATTCCTATTGGCTTTTGAAAGCCAATAGAATTAGAGTCTATTCAAGAGAGTCTATTCTATTGGCTTTCAAAAGCCAATAGAATAAAAGGGAGTAGCGCAGCTAAGGAAAAGGGGGAAAAAATGGCGGACTGCGTTGTTTGGCGACCCCCGTAAAATGGTCGTTCGACCCCAAATGGGGTCCCTACCCACAGGTTGAGAACCAATGCCCTAGACATACCTAGTTCCCTTAGTCATTGATCGTGATGGTATTAACCGAATAATGGATGAGTCACGTGACCGACTTGGTCTCTTTTCACAGCCGTTAAGTGAACAAGGCGGTTGTAAAGCCGCCACCGTGATGCTTCACAAGTGGATGCCACGGTCATTAAGCGAATCCATGGTTTGCCACGGGCGTGTTGTGCCGAAGTGACAATGATGCTGAAGGGCTGAGAGGCTACATCCTACAAAGCAGATTTAAAGAAACTTGGTTTGTTTAGCCTAAAGAAGAGACGTTCACATGCTCTCCTTAACTGGACATTTAAAATGTGGTTTCTCCCAAGAATTGCCGGATAGATTTCACATGACGCACAAAGCCTGATTGGTTTTGAAGGTGCATTTGTTTTGTTTTGTGCCTTGTAGATGTGTGCGATTTGTTTGGGTCTGGAAAATTTCTGCTTCGAAGCATTGTGTGAACTCACAAAAAAAAAAAAAAATGGGTTTGTTCAGTAATCAGATTACGCATACTGAGTGAACACAGACCCTTGTTACAGTTAAGGGTGATTTTTAAATGAATTTCTCCTCTTCTCCTTCCTCTTTAATCCAGTTAATATGGCATTTGCTTATTATGCTACTGGTTTTTTTAGATGTTTAGTAAGCCTGTTGCCTCAGGGGCCTTTTGTCTCTGGAAGGCACAGTTAATACATCATTTTATAAATAAATACGGTCCTGTTTCATCTGTAAATACCAGGAACTGGATCTGTGCCCTTTTTAATATAAAGAATATGCCTTCCATTATATTTCAGCTTTACTATGTCGAGTTTTGTAAATGTGAAACTCAAGATATAAAGGGTAAAATATAAATTTGGGTGGAAAGTTATTTTTTACCAGCAAGGGTTGCATTCATCATGAATTGGACCAAAAAAAGAGAGATTTTTTTTGGGGGGGGGAAGTGACTTTGGAATGTTTAAGGACAAACTAATTGAACGTGGATTGATTAATATTTGGATACTACTG